TTAATGTGCTAATGTATAAGGGGTTGTGTGCATGAAATAAAGCTTTTCAGGAAATTAGTGTATATTCTGAAGAGTCTACCTATATATTGAATCGGACGACAAACTGTATTTGAGGGAAAGCTAGGGATGGTATTATCAACGATTGTATAAAACTAAGAATCAATATCACTTACAATGTCAAAGAAGCTTGTAATACACATGATTTGCTTATGCACATGTTCATAAGAATTAATAACGGTACATTATGCACATACACATGTTGAGTTTTGAAGAGATTGGTTCCTGACAATGCCAACAAGGAACTAGAGTACACAGAGGCAAGTCACGAATGTGAAAAGAAAAGCACTCTCAAATAGCCAAATTCAAATGGGTGACCTTCCCCCACATGACCAAGTAAGTTTCAGATCATTCTGATTCTATCCTTCTATATGGCCATATTGCGCTTGACGAACAACTAAATATTTTTGTTAGGACTTACAAAAGATTTTATGTCAAATTTCATGCCATGACATACTACAAAATGTTATAGAGCAGTATCATTGCAGTGATGGAATATTTATCTGGTGCTTGTCTAATTTTTTTGAAAGTAGCAAGCAGGGAGAATTATGTCTGTGACATCTTCCTGTAACAACACACCTTCAGCACCAAGATTAATCGCGTCAATTTTTTTCTGAAAGTCGGGTGCTGTTGAGAACTTATAACATCATAACTTTGTCAAATGCAGCCTGACATTCACTATCCGAAGTCAAATTCAAACAAACTGAACTGCTGAGGTCATGTCGAAAGTTGAAGTGAGCAGAACAAATCCAATGTAATGTTTCAAGTTCACGGTACATGATCATTGCATTGACTGAAGAAAGGAGACATATCCTTATTTAAAATACATGTGTATACATATAACCACAGTGACTCAAACGAGGTCCTGTAAGAATAACTTCATCACGTCTTTAGCATATGTGAATTTGGAAGTGAGATAAATGCACATATTCTTTGCATATGACAAGCAGCTTTACCTTTCTTACAGAGTTCTTACCAAAATATGAACAAGGTTTTTGTAATGTTGATATGGAAATTCTTTGGGCATCGTTTGAACTCTGACAATGGAATTAAAACAACATTCGGGTACAAGAGCTGAGAAACGTGTTTAAAGTAAGGATCGTATCGTAGGGATAAATATGTTAGAAATATGAATTAATTGTTGTACATTGATTTAACTGTGCTTTATATAATAGTGTAGACAACCTGTAAATGAAGATAAATATAGTATAGTGTAAAACAGAAGGGAACGTACAATCAATAACTTGGTGCATGTGCATGTGCATGTGCATGTGCATGTGTGGAATAGACATAATATATATATGTTATCGTTATTCCAACGGTACGATTATCGTATGCAAAGTGTTACTTCTTGATCCAGTAACCCGTAATTATGGCGAATGTTCATCTGCCATTCAATCCTAAAATATCATTTATTAATTTTCAGATTTTTCTAGAAGTAAGTGAGTGAGTTTAGTTTAACTCCGTCATGTACAGTATTTCGGTTACTTCACAGCATGTCAACTTGATTTGGAAGGAAATGCCGAAGTAAATTACGGGTCTCAGACGGTTACCACTTGGATGAAACGCACGAGCACGAGTGAACAAGTGAGTTGGGTTTAACGACGCTTTGATCAGTATTCCAGTAATATCACGGCGTGTCGGTTTGAGAATCTCCGGCGTTTTCCACTTTGGTGAAACCCACGAGCACGAGTTTGTTACTGACAAACCTGGAAACAAAACCATGTCGAAACGGGATTCGAACCTACAATCGTAGATTTGTGGCACACCTAAAGGACGCACAGCGAATCGCGGCCCCTTAGACAACTGGGCCACCCGTGCCCTTATCATGACTTCAGATAAGTTTTATGTACAGTTTTAGCATATGTTGAGAACGTTGAGTCAAGAGAATTCCTTTATCAGCATGATGTTCATGTGGCATGTAACATTTATGAAAGTAGGTGTCACATGCGTCTAAGATGTCTTGAACCCAGCTGAGTCCAGCTGTGGCCCTGGTGATACCTTCAACCTTTGAGGCACTAACATTCAAAAACGTCTAGTGAGTATTGGTTCGTTTTTACCGCGTTCTCCAGTAAGACCACGTGTAGACTTACAGGTGGGCTTCATTCGTTGTTCCCATGTGGCAAATCGAGCATGGGCCTTCGGGGCAACGTTTCAACGTTTTAACCACATGTATAGCCAACCACAAAGACTTCTGGTGAAAGCAGTATGAAATCGGCAACAGATCTTGAAGGTTAGGTTGTTAAACGTATACACGTTTAGAAACACTTATTTCGGCGTTGTATCGAGCGATAGGTATCACACTTATCGAGTGGTAAACGTCAAAACGCACGGCAACACGGCGTTGTTAACTTCATGCATTCAGCGTGGCGCTTAGAACCTCTAGTAAACAAGTGCCGATCTCCCTGATGCTATCCACTTCACAGGACGTGTATGAAGCTGGGGATCAAAGATGTGTCACATCTACATTTTTAGAGCCTTGGCGCATGTTATTTGAATTGACACGACAATGCACATTAAAAACATGAACTACTTACACTCAGAATATGAATACTTGGTTAAACAGTTTGGTTTCAAAAGTCAGCCTGGGAAGAAATACATACCCTGACAGATGTGATAAAGAAAATGCACCGTTTGGATTTCATTTTTCACTATCACATGGCTGCAAAAGTGCAAACTCGTTTCTATATCTGTTTATTCTTACTCACTATTCCTGGTCAGTATCGTTCAGTAGTTGTTGTTTTTTGGTGTTACAGAAGAGAAATATAGTTGATTATATCATATGTCAGGGTTTGTTGAGAGTTAGCAGAAATGTATCTGCATCCTGTAACAACATGATTATGGATAGTATTCCGAATTATTCCGTGGTTGCCTCCCCTGTTGTGCATAGTCCAGTATTAATTTGCGTGACGTTAGTGGAAGAGTCCAGTTATCACAGATGTAACATTGGTACTTAAACCGAAGTTAATTGTATCACATTTTTAACATTGCATTAACCTATTCTTGCAGCCGTGTATAGTTTAAGAATCAGAATATTAATTTGGTCAATGAAAGGAAAGACTTGAATTGAGTTTGTGTCAGAAAAAGAACCAGCGAAAAAAATCATTACTGAATTTCCGTCTGATCGAGTCTCTGATTCCCCTTATATAAATTTGAGCTCAAATAACTCTAGAGTCATCTGAGCCTGTGGAGTCATTTGAGCCTTCCACACTGACAGTTAAGGAACAGCTATTTCAGCACGGTATTCAGTAACCGATCATTCAACGTCCGTGCAGGCCATCTTTCGTGAATATACTTGGACAATACGGACTTATTTCCTGGCAGATCCTTGCTTCTCAACGTCAAAAGTTATCATATCAATATATCGATGCTGAGAAAGGGATAAATACGATACGTCAATACCTTGAATCTTTGTACACAAGACGTCACTTGCCAGGGAACGAAGAGGGTATCGTTGTGCCTTTTAAATGTGTATTTTGATGTAAAAAGAAAGCCAAATCAACTACTTTCTTTCAATATCAGTAAACATATTAGCACACAACACATTCATGAGTTGAATTTACATTTAGGATCACAATTCTGTGGAGAGCTTGACACCAGTACCCTCTAAACTTGTTAGGTTTACGTCGTGTGCGCGCGCGTGTGTGTGTGTGTGCGTGTGTGTCCGCTATTTCGAACAGAGTTGAACAAATTGTACTGTCGCCCTGTGTGAGCATGTCTCCCGCTGTGTTAACGTGAACATATCGACAGTAGTACTATTGTTGTACAGGTTTCACTTTCCCACTCAGCTTCCAACGCCTCCTTGTTTAAATTCGATAAAACGTCCGACCTATCACTGGTTCCTATGGCAACCACGACTGCCACCCTGCAGCATCATGGATGCCAGTATGTTTAGTTGCTTGACTAACAGAACTGTAAAGTCGACAACGTTGGCCAACGGTGATATTTCTTCCTGTTTTGGCTGGTAATGTTTACAAAGTCGATCTATTCAGGCTGTAATTTTGACGATGGCATCCAACATAAGGTATTTTGCATTATGTACAGAGTTGTGTGGTGAATAAATACAAGATCGGTAGATATAAGAGATTGAGTATTCACTGCTGTTGATATTTTCAACTCATTAAACGGAGCTTCCGCTGTTTAGTCAGTGTACATTTTTTTCACTTTATACTGTAGATTAAAGTACTATAATCCCTCTTTACAGGCATTACGTGCTGGTTAAGGCTGCCGTGTCATGTTGCTTGTGTTTAAATTGAAAGAGTAGTGCTGTGGTTACTTATGTTACCTATAGTTATGTGCAATGTTACATTCCTTTCTCTAGGGAATGTAGTGTCAGAATATTGCTCTAACCACAAACTCCTGGAAGTGTCTGTCAACTTTAATCTGCTACATATTGAAAATCTGGACGAGTCGAAACAAATGTTGACCACCACGGGGTGGTCCTTCTTCACGTGGACCTTTGAAGGATTGTCATGGGATGAAACATTTTAGAATATCTCAAGGGTTCCTGTTTTAGATAAAGATGTAAGGTTGCCAGATTTAGTGATGTTTAATGCTAACAACAACTATGACCGTTTTGGGGTGAACATGTACCAGGCACTATCAGCCCATAGATCTCCGTTCAACATCCTGTAATATAGATGCCACTAGCTTCCCATTTAATTATCCTTCCAGCTGGCACAATGGCGTACAGACACTTCAGAGGTTAACGACACATTTCAAAATGTACCCATATCCTTATCTCACACAAAGAAAATGGTGAGTGGAACATTTTAGGTGCGTTTGTGAAAAAAATATTGCTTATCCTAGCTCGACGTCGGGCTTACTCAACACATACCGCCCCTTTGTCTGTTTGCCGTGTACCTGTCCTCCATCAACTCCTTCTTACCGTCTGTGTCCGACCATGTGGCTCTCTTCAGCATCTACCTCCACTGCATGAAGGGATGTATCAGGTCCTGGAGTTGGGACTTATCCTAGCTCGATGTCGAGCTTACTATATACTTACTGCCGTTTTGCCTGTTTGCGTCCTATCTGGTCTCAATCTGATGGTGTTTCACGTGCCCCCGGGGTCGGGGGAGAAGATGACCCTGTGTGTGTCTGTGTTGTTGGCCTATGCTGTGTACCTGACCTCCATCAACTCCTTCTTACCGTCTGTGTCCGACCACGTGTCTCTCTTCAGCGTCTACCTCCACTGCATGTTTGTCCTCAAGGCTCTGACTGTTATGGCGACAGTCATTGTCCTATATCTCCACTCAACACTGCCCAAGTCTACAATAAGAAAACAACTGACAAAACATTTTTCTCCCATGCCAAAGAAATACTTACCTGATGCCAGTTTAGCTGATAATCTTGAGTAAGAAAATAGTCACAGAGATGTCTCTGTGAAACCTACCAACAATGCAGATGACATGACACAAGTCCTTGATGACGAACTGTGGACTGACATTGTGAAAAGAGTGTATTCTTTTGTATTTTCTTAATGTTGTTCACTGTGGACAGGTGGCGTTTTCTGCGCAATTGCTTCCTAAGAAGAGTAATTTAGAATTTATGATTATTTTAGTCAAGGCGTGCTGGTTCTACTTTTATACGAATGGTAATGCTGGACATTTTACAGTCGCGTTTTCAAAGACGAAAAATTCAAATGTATTGTTTTTAAGTTTAAATACTAACTATAATATCTCATCAGCCGTCTTACAAATGAGGCATATTTCAGTCTACAAATCAACTTTCCCCTTTAATACATATTCTACCCTGAATTTGTAAATTACTGGATTTTGATTGGTGAATCAGAGGTTATCAAATAACAATACATCGCCTTGGATTGAAACAGCCGATTTGACAGCCGCATCACCGCAGAGGTGCTATTAAAAGAAGAGTCATTGTCGGTAATCAATTTTTAATTATTAAATGTACAGTTATATGTTACAAGATGCAGAGTTGCAGTTACTACAATATTCAAAGGATGTGTTGCAATATATTTTGTGCAGAAAACATAATAAAATGTACAAAGAGAATGAATTTCAAGTTTTTGGAACAAAGGAAAGATTAAAATTTAGCGCTTTTTTGTATACGACTGTGACGTCATATCTTTTGCCTTGCTATGAGCGATATGATGTCATAAAAGTGACGTGTATGCTTGTTTAGTTTCCTTTAATGGTGCCTTCTTCACGTTAGCTAACAAAGTTGCTGTGCTACATGCGTTTAATGCCTGTCTCGTGTTCGAGAGAAGTATTATGTAAAGTAAAAAAGTGCTTGAGCATATATAATACCATGTTTTGTTTGAAGGCTGTTGTCAGTGATTCCATAAATCAGATCGACAACAAACTCAGAACAACACATCACACATGGACTCAACACATGCCGCTTCATTCAATTTATGTAACACAGTTTTATTTGGTGATGTTAGAATGGAGATACACCTCCTGTGTTCCCAATGTAGAGCCAGGCTACCTGAAGATTTAAATACATTACATTAAACACATAAATCCTCACCTTGCATGTACGGTTGCATATTCATTTTTACGTGGTTAAACCTACAGGTACTCTAGATTTACACTGAAAACACAGTAGGTTTATCTCCTGAGAACACATGTCAGGGACCGCCTCCACGGTCTAGTGGTAGAGCGTCCGCCCGTGATACCAAAAGACGTTAAAAGATGGTACTTGTTGTTACCCTGTCTGGCATTCAGCATTAAGGGGCTAAAACAAGGACTCGTCGGCACGGAGTCAGTATACTGTGTCTGAGTGGGTATTTATGTTAAACTACTCCTTGTCAATTTGATACTTGTTATTAATCTTGGTATTCAATAAAGAATAGACATTCAGATAGGGTGTGTGTATGAAGCAAACAAATGCATTCTTTCTTAATACTACGTCTTTAAATATTTGTGTGATGTGTTTCGTTTATCATTCCTCTATGCAGTTATGTATAAGGGGCTGTGTGCATGAAATAAAGCTTTTAAGACAATAAATGTATGTTATGACGAGTTAATCTATGGGTTCCATTGAACGATGAACTGGTGTATTTAAGGGAATGATTAAAATGCGACAGAAAGCATAGAGTGGTATAATTAAACGATTGTATTCAAACTAAGAATCAATATCTCTGACAATGTCAATATAGCCTGTAATACACACAATTGGCTGATGCACAAGAATAAATGGCGGAACAAAATGCACATGTACAAGTTTGATGTGTTACTGACCATAAGTTCAGGGACGTTAGTCATGAATGTGAAACGAAACAAACTCTCAATGAACCCACCGCTAATGAAGTTACACAGCATTCTGATACTATCACTCTAGCAACAAGACACACATGTCCATATTACATTTGTTCTACAACTAATTATTTTTGTTTGACTTCACACAAAATGTCACTCACCTGATGAAGGAGTAAGTATAAACTCCGAAACGTTGTGTTCCCCAAATAAAGCAGTTGGCATCTATAAATTATCTCTCTTATGTGTATCACTTCTAAATGTCATTCACCTGATAAAGGAATAATTATATATTCCAAAACGTTGCTTCGAAATGCCATTCAATATGAATGTTCACAAACCTTCAGTAAGTTTAGAAACATGGCAAACATCATCTTTGACATTGTCATTTCCTTTGTTTCATGTATCTAATATCACGATTTTGTTCTTGAAACACAAGCTCCATCTCAACATTGGATTGTGGTCGGATAAGAAAATGGAGTTATCAGGATGAAGTATCCCTGTAGCATCTTCATGTAACAACGAATCTCCAGTACCATGATCGTTAGCATCTATTCTTTTATGAAAGTCAGGTGCTTTGAGAACTTGAAATATAATACAACGTGTAGCTTTAACTTTGTCACAATCTTTGAGCAAATTCAGTAGTAAAAAACGCAGGAGAGCAACCACTTGTTCTTCACCGGCTATTAAAAACAGAAAAGAATCCAAGATGTTTTAAACGACATCATAAGAGTATTTGCCAGTCTTTAAAAAAAGTCAAACACTGGAGTTGAGTATACCCGCTCATGAGATAATCGATCCACCCTTTCTCAGTGTAAACATCTGCTTCATAGATTTGGAACTTCTGTTCTCAGTTATTTCATCAACATTGATGTGAACAGTGACAACAAAAACATCTACATTTCCAAGTCAGCAACGTCGGATGTTCCTTATCAGTATTTTTACCTAGTTTACTAATGGTCCACTATCAATCACCGCCAGCTGTTCAGTCGGTATCTGAAATATTTCGTTTTGTTTAACATGATACAATTTTGTTGGGTCTATGAACGAGAAAGTTGTCGCCAATTTTTTTATTAATTTGGTTTCGTCGCTTTGATCTTTGAGTTCCTATGCATGTAAACGACAGAAGGTATGAATGGCGCTCTTATCAATACTGACATGAATAATATGTGAACATATGTTTATAAGTAAAACAGTGTCATGTTACATTACACAGTTACACAACTCAGAACATGATAACACCATGTTCTTTGAATTTCGTTTCCTTCCATGCACACTCTGCAGTTCAAACAACTGTACGTTTGCAAAAGACTTAAGCAGTTATTGTAGCTTACCTCATTTTGATGCCTTTATTTTATATCAGACGTTGGTCAAGTTTTGGCCAAAAAAAGAATTTTTCGAAACTTCCTCTGATAATTATTTTTTGACATTACTCACAGTTTGCTTTGGATCACCACTTTAAAAGGTAATATGCCAAATTGTGTGCATATATTGGATAAGCCAAAGACAATATTGCGTGAAGGCATGTTTAATGAACAAAGGTCCGTTGTCATATGCCACAAAATGCCAACAAACAACATGTGACCAGTAAACAGATCACACGTTAAAATGAGAGGATATGACCATAACTGAAACGTCAAAAAGTCACGAAATCATTGTTTCCAAAATACAGCTCTCAGGTGGGCGTATGTTATCCACGTTATGCGATCACAGCCTGACACCGTTGTCTCATGCTCCCAAAAGTGTCTGGATGGTTGCTAACGCAAGATTGTTTCCCTCTTCAGTAAGAGTATTGCCCGAGTTCCTTTGGATTTGTCGGAAGAACAGGTGTCATGGGAGGGCGATCTGCAGCTCGTTCCACATGAGTTTGATAGGGTTGAGGTCTGGTGACCGGGCTGGCTACTCCTTGCGGACAATGGTCTCCTGCTCAAAGTAGGCATCAACGACCCTGACACGATGAAGTCGTGCCTTTTCGTCCATGAGGATCAAGTCCGGTCAGAATGTACCAGCATACGGTCAACACATCCAGAATGTCACCTGTAGCACACATCTGTCATAGTGCTCCGCTGTAGGACATGGAAATCGGTTCTTCCATCTCTACTTATTCCATCGCATGATTGAACCCCTCCATAGTAGTCATGTTCGGCTACGCTGGAATTCTGAAATCTTTCCCCTTGTCTACGCCACACTCGGGCACGGCAATCTTCGAAATCTAGACAGAATCTCGATTCATCAGTTGAATTGGTCCGTCCAATTGACGTGATCTTCAGCCTAATCCAAACGTGCCTGCCACTGATTTCGGGTCAATGGGAATCGAATACATGCCCTCCGTGACCGGCAACCAGCCTGAGGAAGACGAGTATGCACTGGGATGAAACGTTAACTAACCTGGCGTTCCGCGGGTCATTTCAGAGTGTGGAGGCAGTCACGAAGTGATGACGTCTTTCTGCAATCAGGAGAGACCTGACTCCCAGTGAGTGGTTCAACGCTGTCTCCCACCTGCATGTCGCTGAGAAGCTGATCCAAACGTCTGGTATCGATTCGATGCCCTGCTGATCACACTTTGACACCAAAGACTTCATCCGACATTTGCAACGTGACGTGTTGACCCAGTTTCAAGCATGCCTATGCATCTGCCTAATTCTTCGCTCGTCAAACGACGTCTTTCACGCTGAAGGGCATAAGTGTAGTCAATTATTACAATCCTTGAAGCAGTTTTTGTACTCTCTGATAATGAATAGCAACGATTCTGTCGCGATACATCAAAACAGATTTTGAAACACCTCGTGCACCTGCTGCCCACGACGATTCACCAGATCAAGCTCCTGCCCGTCCGGCAAGGGACAGACCGAATAGGAATAAGGTCATGGCCATGGTAGAGACAGTACCAGAGATTTTGTGACTCGTCATTGTGTCATAGAAACAGACACTTGTAATAAATTTGAGGATTTGTCTGTGAATTTTATATTTTGGAACATTTCGGTTTTTCAGAAAAGTTCAGAACCTGACTTCTTGAACTACATAAAGTCCAGAAATAATATTACCACCAATGATTGGTACAAACACTTTAGAGATCTCTTTTCATCCCCCTTCATTGAAGACCGGCTTGACGCAGAGCCGGACAGATCCGCTTGAAA